TTATTTATTTATTTATTTATTTATTTATAAATCTCAATTACATTCTTATTTTTTAATGCTATCTTATGGAAGATGGAAATAGAAAGATAGTATTTCAATTATAAAGTATTTTTTATCATATTTAAAATAATTTGAAAAGCAAGCTCAAGTGATCACTGCATTTTCCGCTTTAGATCTTAATCTATGACATCTAGATAGATATTCCATAATAATGGCATAATAAAACTTTTTCTATTTGGATTACTTTCTTTCAATATCAAGCACGGTATCAAATACAAAGCACGTGAGCATAAATTTAATTTAATGCTTCAGGTACCTGCATATCCACCTGCATCGGGACCGTTAGCTATCTACAAGCGGAGCGATTTTTACGATGCTATCGATTATGCTTTGCACGGTTATTACAACGTCAACGACGCTATCGGTGCGTACTCCTACATTGCTGAAGATAATTCGGTAGGGCCCGTAACCTTATGTCTTTACGAGTATAAGGAGGGCATTATATTCGGTTTCAACGAGAGCTACGTGTTCGATAGTGAAATTGTAGAAACTTGCATGAACATCACTCTCGAAACCTTCAATACATTTAATTCGTCGCACAATCTTCTGCAAGATAGAAACATTAACGTCAATTTCTCCGCACTTGTACGCACTCATCTGAAATTTGCTCTAAAAACGGTGAATCTGAAAGCAGCTGGGCCAATGACACCACCCGATTGTTATCGTTTCAACATCAAGATTATCTTTGATAACCGCGATTTCGATGGACAGATGCTGCTCTCGTTAGATGCCGAGGCTAGAAAGTTGCAATGCAAAGGTGATACCCGTTACATCACTGACAACCGCATCGAATCGGCACTGAGGACTTTACTGAATTTACTTGTCATACTGATTTGTACGATTTCTTTGGTGTTATGCTCGCGAGCGATATATAGAGCTCAACTATTAAAGTTTGAGACTATAAACTTCTTCAAAAAAACGTATGGCACAATATTAAGCCTTGAAGGTCGACTGGAATTCTTAAACCTTTGGTATATTATGATTATCATTAATGATTTACTTATCATTATTGGTACCGTTATAAAGGAACAAATCGAGCGAAAACACTCCGAGAGTGATCACTGGAATATTTGCAGTATATTTCTTGGAACTGGAAATCTGCTTGTGTGGTTTGGCGTATTGCGCTATCTTGGCTTCTTCAAGACGTATAATGTTGTCATTTTAACTTTAAAGAAAGCAACACCGAAAGTGGCAAGATTCTTAATATGCGCGGTTCTCATTTATGCCGGTTTCACGTTCTGTGGCTGGTTGGTGCTTGGTCCATATAATATGAAGTTCCGATCCCTTGCGACCACATCTGAGTGCTTGTTTGCGTTAATTAATGGCGATGATATGTTCGCTACATTTTCCATAACGTTTTCCAAATCAGCTGTGTTATGGTGGTACTCTAGAATTTATTTATATTCGTTTATCTCATTGTATATTTACGTCGTCTTAAGTTTGTTCATTTCTGTGATAATGGACGCGTATGATACGATTAAAATATATTATCGCGAAGGTTTCCCGAAGAACGATCTGCAGACATTTATAGCTCCATGCACAGACGAGGCATCGAGCGGCATCTTCAGGGATGACTCCGAGAGAAGCAACTTGACGGAATTGCTCGATCGATTTTGTTGTTGTCGAAAAAGGTCCTTTTACGGATCCTTCTCGGAGTCGGATTCCTCAACAAAATCCGAGCAAGAATGCAACGGAACCATCTGTGTCTAGTGCGTTAACGCAGAGTTCCTGGAGGTATTATGGTGCGACTGGATACACAGCACGATTTTAAATCAATTGCCTCAACATCCTTAGTTTAATGATATTAATTTGCTAGTTTCTTGCCTTGAATCAAATAAATAAAAAAAAAATAATTGTATGCAATATCATGCATTACATTTCAATATATTTATCTATTTTATGTAACAAAATTATCTTTTACAAAAATCGCTAAAAAAAATATAATCTTTAAAATGTTTTTTAATGAAAAAATTCTACGGAATAAAAATAATTTCTTTATTAATGTAGATTTTATCTTTCTTAAGCATTATAAAAATAAATTATCAAGCATAATATTCAGGAAGACATTAACTGTAAATGAATGTTGGTGCAATCAGATCGATAAAGAATTTTCATGAATATAGATAAGTTTTTTAATTTACCGATTGATTAATCGCATTATGCGTCAAGTGCTTTTACACAAGCATCTGACAAAGTTGTGCATATAATACGATTGATCGATGAATTAAGAAACTCACGTCATTTATAAATGTTAATAGCAAATTTATTCGACAATCGCGACATGTTTATGCAACGCGAGTAATTTCTATTACTGCCATGTAAGTTTAATTTATATAATATTTTATGAAAAGCATTTATTATAATAGTGCGGTTATATTAGATTTCGTTTTTATTTGAAAATACAACTATTAGATAATTTTCTATTGAATGCCTTCTAACAGTCTACTAATTTCCAACACATTGTCCAAGTTATTTTTTCGATTTGTTAAAAATACGTATAAGTGTTGCGAAGCACAAAAAAAAACAAAAAAAAAGCGTTCAACAGAACCTTTAAACTGCTAGCAACCAATGCAAAATAATGTCGAAAATTTATGTACAGTATTTCATAAAAAAATTTTTGTACATTTACATGTATAATATAATTATATATTTATTATTCACAACCGTAAATATATGTTACACTTTGAGAATCCATGTAGAATACATATAACCACGTATATTGCTTTTGCAATATATATAATAACAAATCCCCTATAGCAAAGGATTACATTCACAACAGTCAGGAAGAAAATATTATATGTCACTGTGAGATTATTATAACAAATTAACACATATTACAAAGACATTCGCACATCATCGTGACATTGCTGTGACATCATTTGTGATAAAGCGGACATTCGCACATCACCATGATGTAATCATGATTGTTGTGATGTAACTGTGATGTTTTTTGCTGGATGGGATATATTCTTGGAGAAAGTAAGGTAATTAGAAATTGTACAAGAGTTACCATTTAATTGTTAAACCAATTCAGTGTTATATACCAAAGTTATAAAAAGGACATGTAATATATGTATAATCTAAATAAAAATTATCCAAGATTGAACTATGTCAGTAATGTCAAATAATATAAATTATTTGATTATAATAGCCATAATTCTGATCTTGATGCATGTATGTATTATGTTAAAAATGTGTATATAAAAATTGTAGGCTTTGTATCGAGCATAAGATATCTGAAAAAAATGTTATATATATATGGACATAATATATAATAATTATATATATCGTTTTTAAAATTATATAGTCGTATATAATTTTATATAATTATATATGAAACCTTTTTTCTCGGATAAAATTGCACAAAAACAACATTATCCATAGAAATATATTTATATTTACATTGAAGTACAATAAACGTGATTTTTTTAAATATATCTGTTATAAACATTTCTCTACTCAAATCAATTAATTTATACTATTATTATCCCAGTTTCAGTTCAAAAATTGCGTTTTAAAACCGAAAATTAAATTGACGCGCAATTTATAGAATTGAATATATGTATATAAATTCATACTGAAATATTATTAAGTACGAAGATCTAACTTATAATCAGATTAAGGCGTTTTATTTATATTATTATTTAACTTGAAGCGAGAAAATATGCCATTGGATTATATATTAACGTAATAATAATAACGTAATGATTATTTAATTTAATAATTGTCTCAGTAATTGATATTTCAATTATCTATAGGTCACTCTATAGGTCATCAATCTTGATTAATCTTAGTCACGCTTAAAATTTTTTTTACTAACAATAAGAAAAGTATTTAATATAATTAAACTTGCAATGTAAAAAAAAGTATCAGTTAATCAAAAATAATCGTTCAAGGTTTTAGATGCAGTAAGAAAGAGGCACAATTCAAATTAATCAGATAAAATGTTTTAACAATAAAATGTTTATATATTTATTTCAATTTTTTCTTTTATATTTTAAAACTTAAATTAATTCTATTTAATAGATAAACGATTCTCCATTTCCAATACATATCTATCTTTCCTTTCAATGTAAAATCTCAAATGTATATAGAATACACGTACGTAGAATATACGTGCATGTACGTGTGTTTGTGATACGTGTTGCTAAAGGAGTATAGTACATGTTCTGTGGAATAGGAGTCAAAGTGAGAAAAAAGGAACAAGTCGTGTGCAATATATGCAGCTGCATACGCTTTCGCTGGCGGCTGTACATAGTGAACACGCCTGGTTCTTTGTTTATCCTTCGTATGACGTAAGGGCGTCACGCAGCGAACAACGAGCTCAATGCAACCGACCGAAGATCGAGGCTCGGCTGGAGAAACCGAAACGGCAGCAGTCAGTGCCGAGCTGACGAGTGCGCTGACCTGTGGGACGGGTAGTGATGGTCGTTGACCGCGGTTGAGCGCGATCCATTGTTTACATCGACACATATCTCGACGCATCCTGAGGAACGGTGTCTCACATCGTATCCTCGTTAGCGACCCAATCGCCGATCATCATTATCGCCGTGATAAACGACAGCTGCGAGCAAACATGTCAAGAGTAGCGGGAAACTCTCCCGCGAGAGCCGCAAACAAAGGTGAGCAGCAACAACAGCAACAGCAGCAGGAATTCCCGCTGAGTCTGGATAAAGACGCCAGCGAGCATAGCATTTCCAGCATAATGTCGTGCGTGTCCATCTCGCCGAAACACGCAGAAAGTAGCCTCCGGGTTATGGAGAGTTATCTGCACAAGCAACAGCTGACAGACGTCACGCTGATCGCGGGTGAGTGTACCAAGGCCCTGAACGCTTTGTTTTGATAACAATACACCTGTCGATGTGTCAATTGTCAATTAGAATTATGACTCAGATGATGATTAATCATACGTTTTAATTAATAAATGAGAATTATTAATGTATATTTGTATGTACAATTTGATGTATATTTTTATTTATAATTACGATTTATAGAAAAATTCTTTTTATTATTATTATAAGTTATTATTAGAATCTTTTTTTGCTGGATAATTTGCTATTGTTAATATTTCTAACTAGTAAAAATTGAAGAAAGATAGGAAGATGCATTCTTTATGTAACATGTATATTAAAAATGTTCTTTGTGCTCGATATAATTCGAAGCATCTCATATTTATGTGTGTGAGATTTATCCTTTCTTTAGGAAATAAACGTGTCCCAGCTCATCGATTGGTCCTCAGTGCTGGCTCTGAATATTTTGCTGCCATGTTCACAAGCTCTTTACGAGAATCGGCACAAAATGAAATAGAATTAATGGATGTTGATGGAGATGCATTATGGGCTTTGGTTCTTTATTGTTATACAGGTAATCCGATTTGCAGATATTTTTCAATCTGTTTTCGTTTATTTTTATTGATATATTTTTGTATATTCACAGGTTGTATAGAATTACAAGAGGATAGTGTAGAGACTCTTCTTGCAACAGCGTGTTTATTACAATTGAATCCAGTTATTAAAGCATGTTGTCAGTTTCTTGTCAAACAGCTCCATCCGAGCAACTGCCTAGGCATACGAATGTTTGCCGATACGCAGGGTTGTTCGGAATTATTTGAACACGCACACGCATACACTACAAAACATTTTATGGAAGTTACAAAAAATCAAGAATTCTTACTGTTATCTGCCAACGAAGTTGCGAAATTACTTGAATCAGAGGATCTTAATGTTCCCTCAGAAGAAACTA